AGAGCTAATAAACTTTCAATAAATGCTTCTAAAACTAAAATAATGATCTTCCATCCAAAGAACAAGTTCGTTCCTGATGTAGATTTTTTCTTTAATAATAATGACATCGATAAACCTGAAAATCCTGATCTTATTTATCCAATTGAACGTATTCTAAACTCGTCTAAAGTTCCTGCATACAAAGTTCTTGGTGTGTATATTGACGAAAACTTGTCATTTGATTTTCATATCAGCCAATTAATCTCTAAACTTAATCGGTCTCTCTACATGATGAGAAACGCTAAAAACGTTCTCTCTCTCTCAGGTTTAAAATCTTTATACTATGCTCTTTTCCACCCTCACTTACTTTATTGTCTTCCTGTCTATAGGTGTACTAGTAGCAAGAATCTTAACTTGATCCGTATTAAACAAAAGCAATCTGTGAGAATTATCTGCAATGCTAAATATAACGCCCATACTCAACCCTTGTTCTTTAAGCTGAATATTCTGCCCCTTGATCTAATTCTACAGCAAAATATGATTTTTATGTTTTCTTATGATAGAAATATTCTACCCAATTCCTTCCAGAATTATTTTTTACAAAACTCTGAACGAGGGTTGAATCCAGGACTTAGAAATGCTAATGATTATTTTGTACCCGGAGTCAGATCTGAATTTCTTAGAAGATTCCCTTTTGTATCTGTTCCTTCCGCATGGAATAATTTTCCGGTTTAAATTAAGCATTCAAAATCTAAAAATATTTTAAAATCTGCCTCTAAAGCCTATCTTATTGATAAATTACAGGGGTTCTCTTGTGAAAGGCTATTGTGTCCATGTTGTTTAAACACTAGATTATTAGATTTTAAAATTCCAACCTTTCATGTATGTACATCTCTTTCTTCACCTAAACTTAAAAACTTGAATGTCATGTATATTCTGATATACATTATCTCTTTGCAGGATATGTCTTCCTTCAAACATTTCAATCATTTTAATTATTATTAATTAAATATTTGTAATGTTTGTAACTTTGTTACTGTATTGGTTTGATAGAGCTGAGCAATATATTGTTTATCATCATGTTTATTTATATTTTCTGCCACCCCACCTACTCGTCCTTTCGTCCAGGTTCCCCCCCCCATGTCACTAAGCTATAGGGAAAATTATGAAAACCTGGCCTCCCCAGATTAATTTTCCCTCACAAGGATTATACTTTTCTATGTGATATTTATATTGTATAAATTTTAATCTTCGTGCAATAAATATTTGATTTGATTTTTTGGCGGAACACCTTCATTTAATTTAATTGAATTTAATTTAATTGAATTGAATAGAAGTTTGTTTAGTATTTTAAATCGGAACAATACATCTCGAAAGTAGTTCAAGCTCTGGCATTATGATGTTAGAGATGGAAATTCTTTAATCTTCTAGCTTTAATAATTTACAACGTTTGAAATTCAACTTTTTCATTCAAATTTTCCATGCAATGAGGGTATTGTACGATTTAAATATGAATAAAAAATAACTCTTAATTTTATGTTCTGTGAATTTAATGAAAACCAATAATTTTTTTAATGAAATGACACAATTATGATAAAGAATTTGTTCCCATTACATTTATACTCATCTCAAATTAAAAATTGTACGATTTGTAGGTTTGTACTATGATTACAAGACAGGGTACTACTATGATGCTGAGAAGGCGTTGTACTATGACGGGAGTACAGGAACATATTTCAAGTACAACCAGGATACAAAGGAGTACTTGGTAATTGCTTTATATTGGTTGATTTATTAGAAGATAGAATATTTTGATGGTTGAATATGTAATCTAAAGCCTAAAATTGATTTTTAGATGAATAATTCATAATCAAATAGAAAGATTGGTTCAGTGGTATCTAAATGATTGATTGATTTCCAGACATGGTAAATGATTGATTGATTGATTATCAGACAATTTGAATGATTGATTGAATGATTGATTGATTGACTGATTGATTGATTGATTTGATTGATTGATTGATTGATTGGAAGAACGATTTCCTGACTAATTGATCGATACAAAGGTAGACTCCATGCTTCCTGAGGAGGAGGTGGCAGCACAGAAGGAATTAAAATTAAGGGAAGAAGAGAAGAAACTTCACAGAATAAGGAAACGAAGAAGATCTTCGGATAAGGAGAGAGGTTTGTTTAGTTTACTTTTCCCATCACATCGCATCGCATCGCATCGCATTCCATCGCATCGAATCGCATTGCATTGCATCGCATCTTATCGCATCGTATTGCATCGCATCGCCCACACCCACACCCGCACCCACATGGGGGGTATAATTTCTTCTTACGTATAGAAGCATATAATGTAGGGGTAAAGTATTTAGAAAATCAATCCTTTGTGTTTCAAAACCATGGAGTGAAAGAAGTAAAAAATAATTAAGTTTCATAAAATAAATCTCAACCCAGACCGAAATATAATTCCTAAAAAATGTTGGTTCGGACTAAAATGAATCTACATTTTTATTTTTTATTTGTAGTGATTAAAGTTAACAGAGCTGGGAATCTTATATCGTGGATATCAAGATCAATATTTGATCTCGATCTATTGCTAATTTGCAGATTAATTTAATCTTTATTCGATATCCCGCAATGTAATTGTACCCTTAAGGTATAACTGAAATAAAGAGATAATCATTGATCCTCAAATTACAAGTGCCCACAATGGATATCTGTGCTCATTTTTACCTATAGGAGACCAGGTAATAACTACAAACATAAGAGCGAGCATGAACTCTTTCTCTTCGGCTCACCTCTATTTGCACTGATTAAATCTTATGTATATATTTCAGGTAGGCAGTTTATACAGGACTCAACCGTGAACTGAAAACACAATAANTTCTCTGTAGGACAAGCTGGAGAACTTCTCGACTTTGAACACCCTGAACACACATTAGTTTATAAAGATCCACAGATCTTACAATATCAAAATGAGTATCCAACACAAGTTCCCCGCTCAGCGTATAATTCCGAAACTGTTTAAGATCCCTCGAGAGTAGAGGATGTAAGAGAAGGAAGGATGCACGATGAATACTCCGACGATGATATCCAAGAATCCGATATACCTTGTGTTAGGTTGGAGACTATTATTATTATAGAATATAGATATAATATAGATATACTAGGCTTTTAGGGCGCTTCGCGCCCATCCTCTATTTCAATTGTGAACAATGAACATGTTCTCTTTGTTTAATTGTAAAATAACCCAAAAAAATTTGCGGATTTTATAAAAAAAAATTTCGTAGATTTTTAAAATTTTCAAAAATCAAAATTTGTTAGAGTCAAATTTTTGATAATTAGATCATCCATAAACCTTCCCTGAGGTCACGCAAGATCCCACAAAAAATTTGGACCCGATCAGTTTAGTCGTTTTGGCGCTTATTGGATACAAACAGGCTGACAGATAATCTTCGCGCCCATTTTCTAAATTAATTGTGAACATGTTCTCTTTGTGTACATCGTAAAACGAAACGAAAAAATTCGCGGATTTAAACAAAAAATTTGGTGGATTTTCAAAATTTTAAAAATTTAATGAAAATTGAATTTTGATGGAGACAAATATTTGAAATTTTGATCATTCATAAACCTTGAGATCCATCATGAGCATCTACAAGAGGGGGGGGGTCAAGTCAATATCTGTAAATTCTGAATAATTTTTTCTCTAAAATATGTTGAGGGAAATATTCAAATAACCTTTATATTCCTCCTTTAACAATTATTTATGCTTTTGTTTTGTTTCTTTACATAATATGTTAAAAAGTAACAGAACGGATCTAAAAATAGATATTTTTGTGTTTAGATTAGTTGTAAAGAATACTGAGGATGAGAGAGTTCATCTTGGTTCTCTTTATATTATTACTTGTAAAGGTGGATCTATTGGCAGCAAGGGACTTCATGAGGTTAGATTCTATATTTATCATTTTGATCTTAACATAGAAACCTTGAATTTTTTACGAATTTTTCTTTAGGATAAGGAAAAGAACTTAAATTTTATCAAAATTCTACTGAATAGTAATTAAATGAACAACTTGGCTCTTTCTAAAATGTATAATTACCAGCATGGGAACCCAGCTTTGCCAGGAAACTAAACTTTTACTACTAAACTCGACCCACTTAATTTATAATTTTGAAGCCAAATTAAGAACATCAATCAAACTTCAAAACAAATCGGTCAAGAGGTTGTCGGTTTATCATCTGGCATACAAACAAACAAACGGAGATAAATACTTTATATATTATATAGAGATGTTGGTTTAGGTTTTGCTGCCTGACCTGGGTTGCTCCAAGCTACACGCTCAAGTCAGTTTTAAGTCATCAGACTGCTCTTATTATCTCAAGTAAGTTTAATTCATCAGCCAGCTCCTATTATCTCAAGTAAGTTTTAAGTCATCAGACTGCTCTTATTATCTCAAGTAAGTTTTAAGTCATCAGACTGCTCATATTATCTCAAGTAAGTTTTAAGTCATCAGACAACTCTTATTATCTCAAGTAAGTTTTAAGTCATCAGACTGCTCTTATTATCTCAAGTAAGTTTAATTCATCAGCCAGCTCCTATTATCTCAAGTAAGTTTTAAGTCATCTGACTGCTCTTATTATCTCAAGTAAGTTTTAAGTCATCAGACTGCTCTTATTATCTCAAGTAAGTTTAAAGTCATCAGACTGCTCATATTATCTCAAGTAAGTTTTAAGTCATCAGACAACTCTTATTATCTCAAGTAAGTTTTAAGTCATCAGACTGCTCTTATTATCTCAAGTAAGTTTTAAGTCATCAGACTGCTCTTATTATCTAAAGTCAGTTTTAAGTCATCAGACAGCTCTTATTATCTCAAGTAAGTTTTGCCCTTGTTATTATGTTTAATTTCGTATCTTTGAACTGTATGATGTGGTTCAATTTAATTTAATTTGACTAGGTTTGATTTAGTGAGGGTTGGTTGGTTTGAACTCGTTAGACATGATACGATTTGATTTATTTAGTTTATTTTTTTTCTGCTCATTTAATTAGGTAGATTTTAAATTTTACCTAATATGCATGATTTAGTTTCTTTTAATATCTTATCTTTCTATTTTACACATTGAAATTGAATATTGGAATATGGTGTTATTTTTCTTAAATCAAGACTGGTTAGATGTGGTTCAATCCAATTTGATTAAATTTGATTTGAATTGATTTTATTTTTACTTTAAGAGATCTTGGATCTCGGAATGGAACTTGGATTAACGGGAAGAGATTAAGTAAACCTAAAGAAGAGAGTAAACTCATACAAATAGGAAACATATTCATTCATAGAATATAGTAATTGATTATTAGATTCAAATTATTTTGGTTAAAGATAATAAAATATAATTCTCTGATATTTAAGAATGGATAATGGAGAAAAAGTCCGCTCCCCTTAAAATCAATTTTTTTTTAATTTTGCGATTTAAAAAAATCCTTGGTTAATGCAAAAAGACCGAAATATTTGTATTTGAATGAATATAAATCCAGGCCATGGAACTTGTATTCAGATTGGAAAAACTAAACTTATTTGTCATGTTCATCCTGGAACAGAAACTTGTCTAGGTAATTATTAATATGACTCGTTATGAATGGGTTGGGTATTGGGTAACAATACAACTGGTTTGTCATGTACAATGTACATTCGTACGCATTGCATCTACGACAGAGACTTGTCTAGATAATAAACTGATTTGTCATGTACAATGTACATTTGTACGCATTGCATCTACGACATAGACTTGTCTAGATAATAAATTGATTTGTCATGTACAATGTACATTTGTACGCATTGCATCTACGACAGAGACTTGTCTAGATAATAAACTGATTGTCATGTACAATGTACATTTGTACGCATTGCATGATCTACGACAGAGTCTTGTCTAGATAATGAACTGATTTGTCATGTACAATGTACATTTGTACGCATTGCATCTACGACAGAGACTTGTCTAGATAATAAAATGATTGTCATGTACAATGTACATTTGTACGCATTGCATCTACGACAGAAACTTGTCTAGATAATAAACTGATTTGTCATGTACAATGTACATTTGTACGCATTTCGGATCTACGACAGAGACTTGTCTAGATAATAAACTGATTTGTCATGTACAATGTACATTTGTACGCATTGCATCTACGACATAGACCTGTCTAGATAATAAACTGGTTTGCCATTTACAATGTACATTTGTACGCATTGCATCTACGACAGAGACTTGTCTAGATAATAAACTGATTTGCATGTACAATGTACATTTGTACACATTGCATCTACGACAGAGACCTGTCTAGATAATAAACTGGTTTGTCATGTACAATGTACATTTGTACGCATTGCGTGCATCTACGACAGAGACTTGTCTAGATAATAAACTGATTTGTCCTGTACAATGTACATTTGTACGCATTGCATCTACGACAGAGACTTAATTAGATAATAAACTGGTTTGTCCTGTACAATTTACATTTGTACGCATTGCATCTACGACAGAGACTTGTATAGATAATGAACTGGTTTGTCCTGTACAATGTACATTTGTACGCATTGCATCTACGACAGAGACTTGTCTAGATAATAAAATGATTTGTCCTGAACATCCAGAGATGAAAACTTTAGAATTGTGGATATCGAGATCTACGCTTTTCAATAATCTGCATAGTGTTGATTGTAGAAGCCGAACAGCCAATCAGAAACCGAGAAATGTTGCTATGAATCAATGAGAGAAGTCACATTGATATCAATAAGAGTATGGAATATAAGAGAGAAGGAATCGACCATGACACCGGCTTGCCCTTCTAAATGATTATACATGCTTTGCAGACGGTACTTCTTTGAATAAGAGTTTTTATGGTCGTCTTTTGATTTTTTAAATGTGGTTGATTAAATAAAACCGATTTTTTATATGATTTTTTTGGCTTTATTCAGTCTAATTTTTTTCCTGTTTAATCTATCAAATCAAATCATATTATAATAACCTATTCTGAATACATGTACGCGATATTTGTACATCAGACAAATATTTCTTATTCAAATTAAGAACCGTCTGCAAAGCATGTATAATCATATGATAGGGTGGGCCGGGTCGATTTCTTCTCCATTATATTTAATACCCCTTGATTGATATCCAAAAGAAAGAAAACAGGAGTTTTCAGCTCAGGAAACTAAATTTGTCTTGGCGGAACCCACCCACCCCAATTTTAGAACTTAAATGTTTGATAATATTCTGCTTTATCTTATTTAATTTATCCTAGAATGTGAACCTGGTCTAGTGAGAGCAGAGCTCAGGTCTGAGAACGGACACGGTGGAGCAGGGAAGGAAGAATTAAGGAAGAAGGAACTCAAGGATTTAAAGGAATGCGGTCATAAATTAATTATGGGAATAGAATGAACCAATGTTGATGACGATGTATTCTTAAATTCTATTCGAAATATTAAACTTCCTCTCCTGGATGAGCCAAAGGAACTGTTTGAAAGTAATATTCAAGAAAGTAATGCTGAATCTAAACTTCGCTGTTAATGATGGGTATATATGTATTTTGAAGAACCACCCCCCCCTCCCATTCAGCGAATAAAATCCTTTAAAAAAATCCTGTTCTATGCTAACATACCTGAAATTGGGAATTTTAGGAAAACAATAATATTCAAAATAAGAGGGGGAGGAGGTGGGTGGTGATGTTTCAATACACACACACCAACAATTTTTAAGTTTAAATAATTATCCCATAGGTTATGACAACGGTGGATACTTCTATGTGGTCCTAGGTAACTACCCAGCTATCTCACCAAAATCTGAAAACTTATCTTCTCAAGCAATATTGATTAATTGATTGAAATCATATTCTTCTCAAAAATTGTCCATGCTAGCAGTTTTTCTGAACTAATAATTTTGGTTCAAACTAAGGTAAGTTGGTTGGGTTATTTGGGCGCAAAATTAAATTTCCGCTTTTATGGAATAAAAACTTCAGGAACTTTTTATTGTCATCAAAAAAAAAAATACTTATTAGGTAATCTTTTAGGACAAAATCTTGTTAATTAATTTTTGATTTGGTTGTAAAATAATTATTCTAAAAAAGTTTTATTGTTAAAAGTTTAATTTTGACTGCTAAGTTTAGATGAATCAAAAGTTTCCCCTTCATAATAAAAATGGGTTAAAAACAACATCAAATCGAGCATGATATTAACTCATAACTCATTGTTTCCTCTGCTAGAAAGAGTTTGAAAAGTTTGAAAATCATTGAAAATTCAAATTTCAATCTTTAATAGTCTATGAAATCTGTATAAAGAGATGGCATTTTTTTTAAATATCTGCAAATTAGATAGTTGAACTTATATACACAAAACACAATTACAAAATGTACATTTATATCAAATTGAGTTTACTATAGAAGACGAAAGTTTCTTAAGGTATATAAAGCAGTAAACATGCCCAGAAGTTCATTAAATAAAGATGACCAGTTTAAGCTTACGCCCCTATAGCAACACCACCATCTTACACTTTACGTGGAAAAGATAGACTATTTAAAAATATATGCTTTATATACTTTCTTGTCTAGAGCCTGTTGGAGACAGACTTATGGCTGATAACGCCTCCAGTATTAATGTAACAATTAGAAGTTATAAGAACAGTAATTTTAAGTCTGATTTGAGACTTCCAAAAATATTTTTTTCTTATCTATAGATTGCTTGGAACTGGAGATATGACTGACAGCATGGCAAATTGTTAAGAAAAATATTATTTGAATCAATTAATCAAAAATGCTTGAGAAAATAAGTTTTCTGATTTTTGTGAAATAGCTAGGGAGTTACCTATTTAGAAGCACTCCCCGTTGTCAGAACCTATTGGATAATTATTTTAAATTAAAATTGTTGGAGCCTGGTGTGAACACAATATACACTAGCAGTTAAAAATTCTGTGGCGGGGTGCTGTCAGATCGGTTTTGTTGAGAAATAATGTTTGACATTTTCTTTGGACGGGTTTCCTTTATTTCTTTTCTGCATAAATTAGAACAACTCAGCTCAATTCGTCATATTTTCCCTATACAAAATGCATGAACAATCCTTTTAAAGAGAAAATATGGGATCGGAGTTGGTCTCTCGGAGGAGCGAGAGGAGATCCCTGGATTCATAGATCGAGCGGAGGAGAGGAGATTAATCCATGGAGTGGATCCGATCAATGCTAAAACTGAAACTGCTAGTATAGATCAAGCGATAGGTTAGTATCATTAAATTTTTCTTCAGCATCGTAAAACTCGGTGAAAAAAACTGGGAAATGCGTGGTTTAAAGGGCGGTCAATTTTGAATGTCTATGAGAATCAAGCCTAAAGTCCCTTTAACATTTTTGTGTTCAGGTGGTAAGAATAAAGGGTTTAAGATGCTGGAGAAGATGGGTTGGGAAGGAGGAGGGTTGGGACGGAGTAAGGATGGAATCCAGGAACCCATCCAGGTTCAACAACGAGCCAACAAATCAGGACTTGGAACTGATATACCTGTCGAGGCAAGTAATAAATATATTCATAAAATTCATTGACATTATCATTATAGCTTTTATTCCATCATGCAGGGGTGTGTATTCTTATGGGAATCACCCCCCACTCCCTTTTATTATTATGGTGTATATAGATTATTCTTTGTGAAAAATGAATGAAGTTTTGGATAAAAAGTATAAAAAAGGATTAATAAACTGTCTTTCTTAAAGTTCAATTTTGTAATTGTTTCCCCCAAGAGCTTCAAAAACCACCCCCTCCCGGGATGAGGGTGGATTTCTTAGAAATGTATACCCTTGATTGAATGTATTTGTATTGGAGGCTCTTAGAAAAATTCTTAAACCCACTTTCAATGCGAATTAGTTTACAAACTGACATGAATATCATGAATGAGTCGTTTGTATCTTTTCAATTTACTTTTTGTTTTTTTATTTAATCTTTTCCTGTTTAGAGCATTTCTGCACGTGATAAGAAGAGAAATGAAATCTGGAAGAAAACTCAGAAAAGATTTCAGAAAACTCCAGTCCTTGATGTGTTCAAGATTAGTGAAAGTGATGATGAGCAAGAAGAAAGCTAATGATATGCAATGTTATTGAATTTAATTAAATGTTGAGTATTTTTTGTCGGCATTTTCGAAGGGGCCGTTTTCCCAGCGGAGACTACTAACTTTGAGTATCTTATCAGCCGCTCTTTTATCTGAAGCGTAATCTAACAGCAGCGCTTGTTCCTTTTGTAAAATTTGGCTTCAGCGCTTGGCCCTATTATTTAACTGCGGCGTTTGTCACCATACCATCATCTTGGTTCCATAGCCTACCCTAGACTCAGAGCTCGGCCCTTCTATTGTATAATATAAGGTCACTTAGGAAAATGTACTTTTGGGGATCAACCATTTAGTAACTGTGTCATTGGGATAAGTACTTAATACTAACGTTAATTTCCGTCCCTGTTTTCTATTTTTGATATTCAAATGACAAAAATTAGGGGTTTTGTTTAAATACGGAAAATGACGTAAATGATAAGAAATGAAATGTTACTTCTGTGAAATTATTATACGATTTTCTAAACTCTGATCAAAATACCAGATTCATGCTGATATGTTAATCTAGTAATTCATAATACATACATTGTATCAACGTTAGTCCTATTTATTTCAGACATTTGTAATACAATCCTCTTTTTAATATTGTTTAATGTGAAAATGTTCAAATTCTTCCAGACTGCTAAGAGATGTAGTTTAATCCAAGTTCGCAGTTTATCCTATCTCCCACTGTCGAGCCAACCCCTGAGATTATTTGTCCTGAATCTTAACAGAACCCGGAGCCTAGTTGTACGGAGTATCTTTAGTATACGGCAAGGTTCTACCTACCCACTCATATTTAAGATGAGAGATAAAGTGATTGTTAAACATGAGGAGGGAGCGGATAGGTTCACTTTCTCATTCATTTATTCATTTGCACAGAACAGGTAAATAAACAATAAACATCTGAAATCTTTGGAAAATGGTATTTTATAGATTAATAATAAATATTTGCTTGAACTAAAAACCTTTTTAATGAATGGAATTAGTTAAATTTGTTTTGTCCCAAGCAGCGGAGTCTCCCATAGAGTTTGCTTTAAATTAGTCAAATTCCTCCATTTCAGTCAAAAGTTCCAAGCTCGGATGATTTTTTGTTTTAGAAAATTAACTGATAAAAATGTTGATCATTTTAGTCCTGGTCGTCAGTTCAACATGAGCCGGGAGTTGACGGAGGAGTCCTCCACCTTCATCCAGAGGATCCAGGCTAACGTGGGCAAGGTGGTGAACAAGAAGAAGAAGAAGGGCGGAGAGGAGGTCACGGTAGAGGTTCAGTTCTTCAAACTAGATGAGGATATTAATCTAGGTACTATATAAATGGTGTTTTTATATTTATGCCAATGAAATTGGAAGAAATCAGTGTTGTACTTTTCTTGACTTACACTTTCCCCTTTAGCTGTATTTAGGGTTTATCGAAAAATGTACTCACTCCATAATTAATTTCTGTAGTAACTTCTTATGAAATTTCACTCATTTAGAAATGAAGAAGACTGCCAAGGATCTGATCTACGAACCAAACATCAAGATGAAGATTGACAGTAAAGAGTTCGATGTTATCCTAAATCCTCCTTTAGTTGAAGATGTTAGAATAGCTGAACCTTTGATGACGCATACTTACATTTATCCTTTTAAGTTAAAGGTAGATTTGACATTAGATACATTTTCACTTTGGTGACGCGATTACAGTAGATTCTTTTGACATTTTTATAGTTTATAAGAGGTGTACAAGTATTTTTATAGTTTTATAAGAGGTGTACAAGTATTTTTTTAGTTTTATAAGAGGTGTACAAGTATTTTTTTAGATATTTAGCTGGTCTTCAAGTGGCCTGGAGTTTATTTTAGATCGTCGGGCTTGACTTTGATAAGCTGTAGTTTTCTTCTTGGACTAACTTTAGCATACTTGGACTAATTAACTTTCAGACTGAATTAGATCGGCTTAGATGACCTCATCAGACTTTAAGCGACTCTAACATGCGCGACTTTGATCAGAATTATTTTCAAAAAAGTTTTTGATTCTATACAAAAGTATTAGTTTTTTTCTTTCTTCCAGACTGTGTTTGCTGAAGAGAGTAGAACGAAGTTTAAATGGTTTGTGAGCAAGGATCCGTCTGAGACGAGCCCAGGAGGTTCGACAACTAAGAAGGTTCGATTGGATAGTTTAAACTCGGGAGAGTGGAAAGAGAGGGGAGAGCATTTCTTCTTTATACCTAATGAATCTGATATAGGTAATTAATACGTTTCTTATCTTAACACACGAAGAAGTGAAATGTACTATGTAAAATGGTAGTGTACTATACTCTTTATAAGTTATGTACTAATTAATTCAAAATTTGATATTTGAAATCTATTTTGTAATTTTTCTGTCTTTCTCCTATGTATCTCTCTTTGTGGTTAAAAGCATGTTTGGTTTAAAGAACTTTTTTAAATTGCTGTTCTTGTTACAACTAATCTGTCGTCAGTAAGCTATATTTTAATTTCTGACACAGAATATTCTTCCTACCTCATTCACCTCATTCAGTATTCAATCAAAGACATTCAGTAATGGGTATGTTTTGGGCGGACCGACTAGATAAAATCCCACCCTAAGAAAATTACAGACCGCTTTGTCCAATGTCCACAGACACATTCCGATGGTTTTGAGGGGCGAGACCTATTTACCTTGATGATGTGTTGTCTTATAATTATATCCTGACCGAACCTAGGGAGCCGTGTGAGATTAGACGTAACCCCCGTACTGGGTGAGGTTGAGGGTGATACCAGATCTATCATCTCCAGTGGGCTGGTGGAGGCGGGACCAGATACCACACCCACTCTCAACAGACAAGCCTGGACTAAACAGAAAACAGAACATCCTGTTGTTAGGTATCTAACTGATTTTTAACTAATCGATCAATCAATCATTTAAATAAATAATAATATGATCAATTAATAGTTTTAAAGTTAAAATTTTTTCTCTAAAATGGATGTTAATTGTTAATGTTGTAGAAAAAGTTATTTCAAGTACACTGTCGTTATGTAATGAGGATTATTTCTGGGTTTATTATTGTAATAAAGGAATTATCCCCGTAATTCAAAATGGTTCTTTAAACCTACATCTGCTAAAAACTAGATTATAAACACTAGTAGCTTAAGTGCCCGGCGTTGCCCGTTAAATTTTAAGCATATTTTATGTTACCCCAAATGTAATTATACCCATGTGTTTACTCAAAAAATTCAGGCAATTTGGTCCATTCGTTCGGCGAGCTATAGCTTACAATTACATATATAACATATTTATGTGCGAAGAGCTTTATCCTATAGATATAGTGCGATTTCTATGTATTTATCTGAAAATTACAATAATGTCAATCTTGAAAAACAAAGAATAAGAAAATAGTTTTTAGATAGAAAAATTATGAAGCACGACAACCCCTTAAAGTTTTATTATCCAGGGTGGTTTCCTATAATTTGTTAGCGGATCTTTATGCAGACAGTGATTTCTCCAGAACCACACTTTTCCCACAGTGCCCACCATTTGCTCTAGGGAACAGAACAATGAAAAGTTAATGGGATATTGATGGAGGACAAATCATTATTTTGAGTGATTAGTACCATTTTTGGTTTGTTCCAATAAATATTACAGAATTTATAAGAAAACCCAGTCGCGAAGATTTCTCAGCCCGCTCTTTAAAAATTAGTATGGTAGTGTACTATGCTTTTCATAAAAATTAACGTAACAATGGTTGAATTCTGCCAATACTATTGGAGATCTTTTTTATTTTATTTTTATTTCTCGGGTACACTTAAAATATTTGATAAATAAACAAAATTACAATTCAGTTTTTTTTTCTTTAAACGTTTGTTGCGGTCCAAAACCTAATGCTTTCTTTTTATTTCCACGTCATTTAACACATTAACCTTCATTTTTCTTCTATTTATTTTTGTTCTCTTTTCTACAGTGTCCTACGATACAAATGTTTTTTCCATTATCAACAACATTTATTTATAATTTTTACAAGTTCTGTCGTAATCAGAGTTCAGATATAGAGTAAAATTAATCCTGAATGAATTAATTAACTTTAATCCTGATATTATCTGCCTTCAAGAGAACGACAGGGATACAAATTCATATTTTTGGCAAAATCTCTCAAAAATTGTCTTTTTATAATAAAATAAAAAACAACAACACTGGTAGTCCAAATTTAATATCAGAGTAATGATATTTTTGTTTTAATAATGTCTGTTAACACCGTTGCCTTGAACGAAAAAGAAGTTTGAATGTAGCGGTTTCAATTTTCAGTAAAAGCAATTTTAAAAATCTTATCTTTCTTCAATCTCACTTTTCGTGTTAAAATATTAAATTAGTGAAAACATCATTTATAAAATTATGCGATTCTTAAGATTTATTTTTGTATTACACATTATACATTTAACACTTATTTCCTTTTAGTTATAAATTTTAAGATGAATATTGTTAGTAAGGTTTTCCGACATGATTTAGTTCCGGTTCTTGGTAAACTAGGCTTTAAAGGAGAATTCACTAAAAAGGGAGGACAGGTAGGAATCATGTAGTAGGACCGGTAGGAAACATGTAGTAGGACCGGTAGGAAACATGTAGGAGGACATGTAGGAGATTGAAATGTTAAATCTATTTAAGGAGATTTTACAGCCTTCTGAAAGAGATATTTTGACAGCAAATTGTAAGCAGGAAACGACAACATTAGTTGTATATTTCCACGTTTTAATCTAAATTACAATTGTTTAAGTTACAACTAGATATGAATATTAAAGATAATTGTAAACAAATTTAATCAGAGTCTAAAACTAAAGAACGAAAAGTTTTGACTTAAATTTTAAGTTCATGGTTAAATGCCACATTTGACTTAATTTAAACCTGAACTTTAACCGAGAGGTTTAATATTTAACCCTGTGGTTAAATATTTAACTCGCCGAAATCGACGAGTTAAAATTTAAACACAGGGTTAAAATCTTGAATTCCCGCAATCCCTATTTGTCTATCATCATTCAGCGGTAAGCGGCATTCAACTAATTACGATATATTTAAAAGGAAAAACCTTGATTTAATAAAATTTCACGTTTTAGATTAATTAATGTTTGCACGGATACCCAAAATACGGTTGTAACTGGAAATATGTTTTGTTTTCCGTCACGTAAATAATTTAAAATTTAAAAAACAGCTGATTACCGAATATCGATACTTACGTAATAATTATTAAAATCCTTTTCTCTGATTGGTTCAGATTTTCCCCGGAAAATTCAACATTAAAATTGAGAAAGTTTAATAATTAAGTAGCTATTCATTATTTTACAGAACTTTTAACCTCGAACTTAAAATTCGCGCATTCTTTAGTTTTAGACTCAGATACATACTTTAACTGCACTGTCTGGGGAAGGTACAGGTAGAAGGGAGTAAAGAAGACAGATATGAGACACGTAAGAAACATGTTGAAGAAATGTAGAATAAGGACTGATGAAGACAGGAAAGATAGGAAGGAAACATTTAGGATTGAGATAGAAAACTTTAAAATATCATGAATGAGGAGAAAGGCATGAGATATGCAAAGATAAGTTTTATGATTTATATGTATTTTCTATTTCTAGGTTGAGGAAGGATTAGCATTATTCTATCGGGAGGGCAGGTTTAAATTACTAGAATCGAGAAGAACAGTATTTGCTGAAGAATTAGAGGCACCTAGGTATTTAATTTATAAAAAGGGACATTATTTTATAGAATTTCTTCTATCTTTTACATGGAAAATGGGATTTTTGAGGAGCGAGGGAGAATGGTTTTAAAAAATTGATTAATAGGATAGATTTCTAGGTTTGCACATATCTACGAGAAGATTCGGAAAAATGATTCTCTAGTTCAGAGATTAAGAGAGAGAACGACTGCTGTGTTTGTCTCCGTTCTCCAGAGTTTACAAGATCCAAGGTTGGTTGGATAAAACTAGTACTATTCAATATTTTGAACTAGAAATAATAATAAGTTGATTTCAAGAATTAATTAATTTTCAATTTAGAAAAGTGCGATATAATCTAAATTAATGATCAGATAAAGGGTTTCATTGGTGCCCCTTATTAAATGGAGGGTCACATGATTTTACAAAGACAGACCTTTAATTTTTTTGCAAGCTTTTTACATATTTTTTATGGGGGTGGGGTTGTGCCGGATTTCTTAGATTTTAAACCCGTAAGAGAAATTTGGTTTTCCTAGAACCGTAAAGACCGTGGGATAGATTTGTTGTCCTAGAGGTTTCTCAAAATTATAGTTATAAAATCAAAATAATGATTCGAATGACGCCCTGATTTAGAAATCTTGAACCCTCCCTTTAGTTTTTTATATATTCCAGGAAACTTGTGATTGTCGGGAACACTCATCTATTCTTTAAACCTGATGCCGACCATATTCGTCTTCTACAGTTTGAGAAGTGTCTCACAGAGATACAGATTCTTAGGAATACTTTTAAGAAATACAATTTCATACATCCTCTCAATTTTATGCTAACTTGATTAAAAGTGGTACACCCAGTCTCCCAAAACTTGTCTTAGATAAATCTACAATGAATTAGTAATATGTTCAATTTTTTGTTAAATTTTTTTAATGTTAACTTTATGTTTAAATTTTGAAAGATTAAGATTTAAGTAAATGTAACGTTTCTGAGATAGAGCACGTCTATTTTAAAATTCAGTGATGGTGATGGACCAAACCTCTGTAGAGTAAAAAAGTAGATGTTAGTTCCACATTTATTGAAAATATATTTCGGTCTGGGTTGACCCTCGTCAGTTCTTGAGATTGTTTCTTCACAAAGATTAAAAACAAACAAGCACGTCAATACCGATAATCTCTAACCTTTTCAGAAGTTTTGAGTTTAGATTTTTTTATAAATTGTTTTTTGGGCATTAAAATACGGAGCAATACTTTGAGAAAAAAGCTTTAATAATTTCTTGAAAGTGTCTCTCATTAGAGCTGAGATGATAGAGAAAAATCCATTCTCCGAGATCGGAGTTATTCTTTGCGGAGATTTCAATTCAACTCCACCTTTCGGAGTTCTACAATATTGTCTTGGTAGGTTAGAGGTGGAAATGTTAATTCTTTATTTATCAGGCGCTCTTTTCAACAGTTATAAATTAGCACAACACTCAAAAACTATAAAAATGCTAGTTGTGATGAACTTTTCCCGCATAAATTAAATTTAAGAAAAATTAGGTTGAATTTTAGCAAATTGTTAAAAACGTTTTTACGGAAAAAATAAATGAACGTTTATTTATGAAAAGGTTCCCGACGTTGCCCGAGGAAAAAAATGTTTTAAAAAAATCGATTTATTTCAGCCTAAGACACCCCCGGCCATGGTGTCCACAAAAAATTTCAGTCAATTCGGTCCAGCCGTTTGGCCGGCTATAGGCAACAACAATGTATATGAATGTCTTATTTTATTATATAGAAGAAGATATACTTGGAACCCTTTTCTCCTAAAAAAAAACTGCAGTTATCTCGATATTACATAATAGAATTTTAAAGAAAATTTTTTGTAGAGGGTCGGATAGGTGCAGAGCACAATGATTGGTCTAGCACTCCAGCGGAAAAGGTTGAGAACTTAAACCTCGCACATTCTTTAAACCTGGGTTCAGCTACCGGAACTCCTAAGGGAAATCATTTATATGAATATTTTACAGATACAGATGACTTATTATTATTATTACCAATCAACCTACAGTCAAAGTATCATGTCCTGACGGTAATGTTACTTTGAACTCCAGGGTCGAGCTCCAGCCACTTACTCGTGTCCGCTTGGGTTATAATGGATCATATCGGGTTTACTTTTTTTGGGACTCAGTGTGTATGCCAGATATGTAAGGAGAACTACAAATGCTTTGAATAGCATTTTAAAACAGTAGGTTTTGTAATTTGAAACTTTTTTTATTTCTGTAAACATTTTCAGATACAGTTATTTCTGATATTTTAAGTATAACATCATTAAAAGCATTTTACAATTAGAACAGATATCATTAAGCATGATATTTTTTACATGTATATTACATTGCAACAATGGACTAAATAAAAACAGCCAATTAAATTCTAAAAATGGGAACTGTTCGGTTTAACCTTATACCCTAAAACCCTACTTTAAAACGTTAATAGAAAATGTTAAGAGATAACTTATTGTCGTCTTCGAATTTAATTTTGAAAAAATGTGCAAATTTTCCTGGGAAATCCGCAATATTTGCCTAGAGGAATACTTGACTTGTTCAATCCAATCTAATGATGATTTTGGTTCAGTATACAAACTACACAATTGAGTTTAAAGACTGCCTGGATTATATTTTCTATGATAAATCTAGATTTGAAGTAGAACAGGTAATCTTTAATTTTTTTGAAGATTAAGAATTAAAAAAAAATTTGTTTTGCTTATGGCCTTAAAATGAAAGTAATCCTTAAATATTGTACAAATTTGTGTTTGGTCAGTTAAATGATTATAAATTAGTTCTAAGAATGATTTTTTTATGATTTGGAGAAAAAAATGAAAAATTGGACATCAAAAGGCTACTTGTTTCATTCTATTTGATACTTTTTACCTAAAAGTTCATTTATTTCCCCCCAAGTCAGCAAATAAAATCCTAACAAATTTGAATGCATATTGTTTAGTGTATAGTGTACTGTGTACTGTATAGTGTATACCTTCTGGGGGAGAAAACTGATTTTTCTAGAAAATATACACCCCTAACATTTATATACTAACTGTTTTGTTTAGGTCGTACCGTTTCCAACTGATGAAGAACTAGAAATGTATATAGCCCTACCAAATATATCCTTTCCGTCAGATCATATATCCTCTGTAGCAGACCTCAGATGGAAATAAACAGAACTTTTTTTGTAAAACTTTGATAAAATTGTGATATTTTTTTTTTTATTTTCTCTTGTTTCAGAGATTATGATTAACAATGTAGTCGCAGTGGGCTTCCTATTCCTGAGATTATTACTGTAGTACAAGGTGAATACGATCGACGATTGATGTTGAATGTTGACATTATTTACTGGAATTATTCCAGGAGGGCTCAACCTTTTTCACTTTCCAGGGAAGGAGAGTGGGTGGCGGAAATCCCAGTCCCATATCCTCCCTGTAAACACCTGTCAGTAACTTGTAAGCTGAACCTGAAATTTTAAACCTGAAATACTTAATTTTCGGTTATAAGGATTGGGTTATAAGATTTTCTAAATTATTTTTTGAATAAGTTTCGTGTAGTTTAATCAATAACATCATTCGAGTTATCTTATAGATCCCTTCTTATTGAAGCTTATTGAATTTTGTGCACGATCATCAAACTTTATATTCTACAGATGCCTCCGAAAGGAAAGAAAAGGAAAATTATCTGGAATAACAATGATTGCAAGTCAGAAGCATGTAAGAGACCAGAATGTAAGTTTTTTTTTTCTTTAATAATATTTAACGACGATCACGAGAAGGATATAAATTATTATAAATATTTATGCTTATTTTATTATTATTGATTTCTTCTTCTTTATAACATAAAACGGGTGTGGCTGTGAATTTTCAAAATATTGTACAATCCCCGTAATATATTTGTATATTAAGCTACGAGTACCTGGGTCCAGTGTGACGAATGTGAAGCATGGTTCCATCTTGTCTGTGTTGGATTAGCTACAGAGGATCTACTAGATCACAAGGATTGGTATTGTTGTGAATGTACAGAGCTGAAGAAGGAGGTAACCAATAATTATAAAATTCTCTGATAAATATTCAATTATTGTGTTCTTATTCTTTCGCTTAAAGGGACTGGGAACGATTTTTAAGTGTCATGTCCTTTTCACACCGGTAGTCTTTATCATGTTTAATTTTGTAAGAGCAACGCCAATTGCTTCCTTATTACAATCCAGAAAGACAATTCTGATATTTCCGAATCGGACACTCCACTCTTTCAAAGATTGGCACTTAACTACACCTCTATAGTTCTTTCATATTTGGATAATCCGAATTTTGATGTTTCTCCGATTTAAAAATATAGAAATATATACACCAAACTCCACCTACACAAAAATGCTGTTAGAAACTTTTTTCTCATTGTTGGTACTATGTACGACTACGGTTATCTTATTAAAATGGTTGCTCATATTCGACCATTGAAGGGGAGGGGAATTTTTTTTATTGATTTACAAACGTGTCTGGTTGTAATGGGTGGGGTAAAATGCAGATAGAGAGGTTAGGAGAGTTCAATAAGGCCCCAACCTTCCTACAGTTGCTTAATGTTTTTACCTCTTATAGGAATTCCTGGTGGTGAGGGAGAGGTTGGCAAGGAAGGTGGAGGAGCTGGCGGACACTCAGGAGGAGTTCGGGGGGCTCACCATCTCCAGGGAGATGTTTAAGGAGAAGAAGAATGCTGGACAGTATAATTATACCACAGACTTCCCTCCAACCCTACGGTATTGTTTAAAGTACACATAAAGACAATTAATATAATTATAATTCATACTTTCTCATAATTTTTGTACGTACATATACACTCAACAGACACTCTTTGTTAATAGTGCCCCTCATTAATATTTTGAACGGTTATCTCCCAATGTCTTTATTATTTGTTGGAAAAAATTTAATAATTTGATATGATTTGTTAAGCTTTAACCNCCCCCAACCCTTTGATAGATTTTACTCTTGATAAAAAAAAATCTTTAACGCATTCCTAAAATACTTTACACAAAATATATATCTCTTAAATTAATCACAGTTTAACCCTATTCTTTAATTTTGTATTTTAGAGATTTATGTTCGAGAATCAAGACGAAATATTTGACAGTCGGGGATTTCAAGTTCGAATATCATCTTATGTGTACGAAAATGAAAACTGAGCTTTTGTCCGACTTCGAATCGAGAATTCAATTTATCGAGTTCGAACTTGACGATATTCTCGAGGAGATTTGTAAAGAGTTTGAGCCGGAACCTGAGCCGGAACCCGAGCCCGAACCTGAACCTGAAGCTGAACAGCTGTATGTACCTGAACCATATTTAAGTCCCAAATTAAACAAAAGAACTAAAAACATGAATTCAATGATTAAAATTGAAGATTGTGATAACGTGATGATATTTGAACCCTCGTCCTATCCTGTTAGCTCGGAGGAGGCTAGTTCTGAGTCTCCGATGAACTGTGAGTATTGTAATATGAGATTCTCTGATGTTGGAATCTATTCCTGTAAACGGAATCACAGTGTGTGTGCGAATTGTCGCCTGGTGAACATGGGTCGGATTTGTCCAGTTTGTTTCAATGAGTTCGGAGACAGAAGGAGACTAGCTATAGATCATGCTGCAAATATACGCTTTAGGTAGGTAATCAGAGGTCACATAATTCTAAATCTATTCATACCCTGCTCAGTCGGTTCTAGTTCCACCATTTTAATATCAATATAAGGTTACAGACTTAGTCGCCCCTTTCCTTAAATCTTTTATTATTTTCTGATGGATTTTTAATATATTCCGGAAAGATTGTCGAAGCGGATGAGCCTCAGTAATCTTTCAAATCTCCTAAGTTTTTATTTTTCAAATCATGGTTTATATTCTGAAAATATAATTACAGATGTGCAAACGGTCCTGCCTCTGAGGTTATAAAGTTTGCTCCTTCTAAACCTAAGAAGATAAAGGTGAGCCCGAAATCCAAAACGGGTCCCATCCCTACCCCTTCTACTCCTCAGATCCTGCAGGTTTGGTCGTGCAAGGACTCCAACCTGCAACCTGGAGAATCAGTCAGTTTCGAAAATATAACCCGCTCAATTAAATCTGAGAGGGTTTCCTTAGACGGAGTTCATTACACCGAGGAGCATGATGAACCTCCCAGTATAGATATGTCCGCTATTCTTACAGATAATCAACTTAGCAGTCAACTTCTTACTCTTATGGATGCAGATGTGTGTAGTGATGGTACTCCAACAATAAAAGAGATTAAACCTAACCTTCCAAAGCTAGCAGAGGGGAATAGAACTATTGTTATCAAGAATAATAGATTAGGCCTTAATCAAACAATAATTGAAAAAAGAAGGTAATTAACAATTAAATAAAATTCAGTAAATTTTAGCGTTTTTTTAATTTCAATCATTAATTCTTATATGTATTGTAAAAATTAAGAAAGAGGGTCTCTGCCTTGTAAAGAATTTAGTCGGTAAATTGTAAAAATGAATTGAAATTATTCAAGAAACTGAAATACTGAAACCAGATTTATATAGGTATTCATTAAATCTTGTCCCTGATAAAGTTTTAGATTCAAAATACATAATTGATACTCTTAGTGGAGGGAGAATTCAAGATCCATCAAATATGAATACTAATATGATAGAGGAGCAACTAAACCTGCGTTTAGCGGAAATCACTCGGTTGAAAAGGTCAGAATATATTTAACAAAACCCATTCTTTGGTTGGTCTTAACATGGGCCCAGGGTGTTTTTTTTTCCGAATTTGACATATCTTTTTTTGCTTTATTTGAATAAAAATGCAAACAAATATCAAAAATAAATTAAAAACATTTCGTAACGCATTTTAGTCAGGGGTCCATATAATTCCCAAAATAGCTGATTTTCTCGATCCTAAAATAATTTTTTGCCCCCAAATTTTTAAAAAATTTGCCCCCATTTTAAAAATTTGCCCCCATTTCTTTAAAATTTGTCAATCCCAAAGGAATTATATGGACCCCTGATTTTATTGTTATTTAAATTAATTTTACTCAAGAGTGGGAAAAGCTTAAATAATAAAATGAAAATGTTCTCAATTAAAGTTTTCGTGCTAGAAAACAACGATATCATCCAAATTAATTATCAGATAACGGTTTACATGGTACCATTGCAAATCGGGAACGCTCCCTTTTACATATATGATTACTTAAAATTCCATCGGATTAAAGTATGATTCGGCCTGCTTAGATAAAAGTTATAAAATGATGTATGTAGGCTGCAGGAGGCTGGTCAGCAGGTTTGGCAGGAACTGAGACAAAGAGAAAGTGAAGTTCAACGTCTTAAAAGTTTTCAAATCCAGGTTAGTGTACTAGAGACAGACCTTAATCTACATTAATCTAACAAAAAAAATATAAGTGAAATCTTATTAAGATACAAATCATTACTGCAGTATGTTGTGAGTGTAGTGTGTGGCTGTAAATTGTTTAATATTCTGGGTTTCCTATATTTGTCTAGCCACAGCTTAATCTCACTTCAAACTTATTATGAACGTCAATATTATTTGTTCTCCCTGTTTGTTATGTGCTAAATGGGATTTCTTTCAGGATACCGAAGTGATGGATCCTGTTGAAGCCCTGAATATAATTGAAGCTAATTTATCTCATAAATACAGTTCTACTCCAGACTTTAATAACATAGGGATACAAAACCACTCTTGTCATCCAACTTACTCAGTCAAATCCGGCCCAGCTACACCAAACACAACCACATCACTTAAACCTGGGAATGGTTGGGCTCAGTTAAAGCAGGAGTACAGAGTTGAAACTTGTCCTGACGGGACGGAAGAATCTATCCTCCCTAACTGTTCCCCCGAGGAAGAGGAGAATGACGAGGAAAACCTGCTGGCTCTGGCTGAAAGTATAACTGAGGACGAGACTGGTGTTAAATATATAAAGACTGAGTTGGAGCTCAGCGCTGTCAGCTTCGAGAGGAAGGAAAGAGAAGAGCGGGGTTGTAGATGTGAGGATTTTATCTGGGATAACCAGGAATACAAGATCTCAGGGTCCTTGGAGTTTATTATGCTTAAGAACTACCGAGGGAATGGTCTAGAGTGGAGACCTTTCTTAACATTGTATCTACCTTTTGGTCCTCCAATATACGAGTTTGAGGTTGGTCGTGCCGGCCACTTGTTCTACTTCAGAGCTTTCTCAAATAGAAACGAAGCTCAGAATGACAGGTATAAAGGATAACATTTTTAGTACATTAGATAGATAAATAGACAAGATTGACAAATAGATTAACAGATCAACAGATCAACAGATAGAAAACACACAGATCAACAGATAGAAAACACACAGATCAACAGATAAAAAACAGATATAAACAGACGGATAAACAGATATAAACAGAAGGATAAACAGATAGGAACAGGCGGATGAACAGGCAGATTAAAAACAGACTGATATTCAGACAGACTGTTATTTCTGTGCTTTCATGATTACTGGAGATATGAATAATTTCGTTCAGAATGAGACATTTTCATGCTTTTATATTATTCCGGGTTATTTAGAATTTAATTATTTATTATCATTTATTATTATTTATCATTACATTTGATATTTAAATCCCTTTGTTCATTAATTAGATGGAGTCTGAGATTGAGTACTAGTGATCCTGGTTTTGCTGAGATGAGCGTAGTTCTGAACGGTATCTTCCGACAACCAGGACAAGATCGTCCCTCCCTTCTCCCCTCAGTTCTGAACGTATCCTCTACCGGTCTTTATAGTATATCCATATCACATTGAACATATTTGTTATCTCGTAACCATCGTAAACATGATCATTAAATTTTAGTCAAGTTTTCATATAATTGTCCGGCTGGTGCTTCTATGAAAACTTCCATTGAAAGATAAATTTCGTTTGTAAGAATGTTTTTTTTGATATTGTAGTTAAATTTGTTACTCTTCGCTCATGTTTATAGATTGTTGTCAATAAATAGACTCATATATAGATTAAATCAATATTATGAGAGGTTACTGGGGGATGACGAAATAAAAAAAATTATCAAAAAAAAATAAATCCTATTTTTCAGATTACAAGTTTTGTTTATTTATTTGAATTATGCTTTGATGGTTAAATTTGTTGCTCTTTCTTGACGAAATATTATTAAATGGACTTCTAGATGGTTGCCGATTTTTGTACGGCTTTAATAATAGGCGGCTTATGAGGAGAGAGGGGGGTGGTACTGGTAAAGCACTTATTATTAAAATAAAATTAACTGTGGCGGAGAAACTGATCACCACATTTTCCACCTCTGGCCGTTTTATTATACTATAATTGTCCAAATACCTTTAAAATTAGCTGGAATAATCATTATTCATTCATTGATTGAAATAAAGTAAAATTCTGATTATATCAGATAGGATTGAAGTGTGTAAAGATCTCGATAATAATGGATTGGATCAGGATTCCAGTATAAATATGATGAAATGAATTCTCTTACCAAAATAAGTAAAATAGCATTAGGACATTGTAGTTGGGATTAAATCAAACAGAAAAATATTTATATTATACTTATTAATAATAGTATCATACAATTTAATAATACAGACATAACCAGATAGACAAATGAATGCCGTAAACTTCTTCAAGGATCAAAGACGATTGTAATGATGTCTGATTAAATGTCAAATAATTCCGGGTCAATTTCTGGATATGACTGTATTATTTCTCTAATTAGCACACTTTGATTGTTGAAGAATGATATTTATGAATTTCTTTGTTCACGCGCATTCCTTCATTTTTTAGGAAGACAAAATTATTGTTTATATATAATTCTATAATCCAAAGTTTAGTGCTGATTAATGTATATGTTCTAGAGATCCAATATTTAAGATGCAACACTCGGTCGAGCGGGGGAAGGCAGGCAGCCATGAGCCACCACTATTTCCCCTTCAGTACCACATATTAGCTTTTTTCTCTTCCGGCAGCCATGAGCCACCACTATTTCTCCTTCCGTACCACCACATTTGACTTCCGGGCAAAACTGCTTTTTTAAATGGTATATTTAGGGCCTTTACAGTGTGATTTAAAAAAAAACAAGCCGCATCAAAATTATTGTGACACAATTTGATTTATTTATTTTAATGTTGCAAACTGAAGAATTTACTTTTTTGGGGGTACTTAATCACATTTTTATTGACACAAAATTGTTTTTGTGTAAAAAGTGTTACCAATTTTTGGAGGTCATTTAGGTCATAAGAGGTCGTTTGAGGTCATTAGAAGGTCAAATAATGGATTAGTTGCTGCTACTGTATTCCCTGGGTTCCTAGCTTTCGTTTGATATGCATAAAAGCCATAGTTGAAATATTTTCAATTTGTGGAGGTCATTAGTGGTCATTAGAGGTCATTTAAGGTCATTAGAAGGTAAAACACTGGATTTGTTGCTGCTACTGTATTCCTGGGGTTCCTAGATTTTAATTGATATGCATAAAGCCATAGTTAAAATATTTTCATTTTTGGAGGTCATTTAGGTCGTTAGAGGTGGTAAGAGGTCATTAGAAGGTCAAACACTGGATTTGTTGCTGCTACTGTATTCCCTGGGTTCCTAGCTTTCCTTTGATATGCATAAAGCCATAGTTAAAATATTTTCTATTTGTAGAGGTAATAAGAGGTCATTAAATTCAATTTTATTTTATTTTAGGAATTTCGATCACTAATTAGGCGTGTAGCCAAAAATTTGAAGATTTGAACCAAAAATGAAGGCAGCCCCCCCCCCTANTATTCAATTACTTTCTCATTATACTAAATCCATCTTAAAATCACTCATTAACCAACTCCCCCATCATCCAATCACCTCATAACTCATTCACTCACCTCATCCAATCACTCATTCAGTCTTTTCATCACTCCCTCACCTCATCATACACACTTAACACAAATCTACTCTCTTACACACTCACACTTACTCACTCACTCACTCACATTACAATTCAATTGAAATTTCGTTCCTCATAACTTTTTTATAGAAAAAAAAGTTTGATAGGTTTAAATACAAATTGTTAGGTTTAGACATTCAGGGTTACCTAAAAAGAATGACACTTCAGAGACTACTGCAAAGAAGTTATATTTATTATTCTCTGCAATAGTAAACATCTTTCTTTCTTTGCTTAATAGATATATAATTGCTATTATAAGATTGTATTCAAGGTAGAAGATTTAATTTAACCTTGGATCGTGATTTAGAGTTTCATGTCATCTTGACAGTCTCATCCTTTGTGGGTAACCCTGTATGTGGGAAACATAATAGAAACAACGAAAAATCACTCATTAAGCAACTCATCTCATCTCTCAACCTCATTAACTCATCTCTCAACCTCATTAAGCAGTCTCTTTATCTAAAATAGCCATCACATTTAAAAGACGACATTTAAAGAAGTTGTTTGAAATTGTAAAAAAAGATGTAGTTTAATCATAGAGAATAGAATATATAGAGAGGAATTAAAAGAATCTCTTGGTATGAATTTTTTCAGTCCCTTTCAGCCTGAAAGGGAGTTGTTCAAAGTGTACAAATCATGTAAATGTTCACAAATTATATGCAGTAGAGTACATTAATACAGTATGTTCCCTAGACTATTCATTTCAATTTCGAATTTTTTAAACTGTTAAATAAACTTTATAATGAATTAGGTGAATAAAAACATCATTTGATTTATAGTTATAACGGAAAATCATCGTTTGTAAAGTGGAAGGCTATAAAGTCTATGTGAAATGATCATTGGTCAATTATGAAACCAGCCTATTTCATAATTTAGTTTTCTTTTAACAATACGGTAAATTTTCTGCATTCTCGTTCACAAGTGTTTAAAATCAATTATTGATTCCAAATGTTTAGGAGGGGTTATTGTTCTTGAAAAAAATAGTGCCATCTATTATTTACAACAGGGAAATGTAATTTTAACCCCCCCCCCCCTCTCCCACGGGGAATGATTTTTGAAGATCTGGGGAAAAAATGAAAAATTTGACATCAATTGGCAAGTTTTCTCACCCTTTTGATACTTTTTAGAAAATGATATTCCAGGGCCCAACAGGTTATATAGCATAAATATGTGAAGTACACCTGCAGTATGGAAACAGTACAACAAAATGGCCGTTTTACACTTTTTTCTANAACCTAAACCTTTTGATTTTCAAGAGGGCGGGGGGAGTTATTTTTCAAGAAAATGTACAAGGTAATGATTATCTATATCTACGCTTGAATATTGAAAATGTATCTGGCGTCACAGTTTCGTAAATCCTACATAAAAAAGACATTTATAAAAGATTATATTATTGACTATTAGGAGCATCACCGCAGAGAAAATTGTTTTATGTATATTGTTTAATCACAGTAAAGGCAAAATTTTTTTAAATTACGTTAAGAATTCTTTTCAGGATTTAAGAACAATTTAAAAAAATGAATGGTCATGAAACGTTTTTCTTCTATTCGTTAAAGTTTCACAAAAACTAATTTTAAGTGAATTAATAATTTATTTTTTACCTGTAACTTTTTCTTGGAACCTGCCACATGATGGGAACAATAGAACTGTTCCCCAGCATCATGACTCTATTGACCTCACACTGCATCACGTCCACGGCACGTTTAGGAACCAGGCATCCGCCCTTGATCTGCTCCCCTGTATACCTCAACCCTTGAACAAACCAGGGCTCGGAGTTCTGCACCTCAACAAACTGAATATATCGATCACCCTTCCCAGTAAGGAAGACCATGTTAGTGTCGGGGTCGAACAAGGGAATCAGGATACCGGAGGACACGTCCAAGGACAGGACAAACTGCGGGGTGGAGAGGTTCCTTGTATCTCGAAGGATGAGCTCACGGGCCCTGTCCTCTCCGAACCCGGAGGTTAGAACGCGATCCTCACCGATCCAGACAACCTTGCTGTCCTTCATACCATCGTGGCTAGAGGTGGAGGAGACGAGGGGGTTGGAGGAACGAGGATCCAGGATACGAAGATATCGATCCTTGCTCTGGGTTGCCAGCAGACCCCCGGACTGCTGCCAGGAGCAGCATTGAACCTTTAAACATGAGAAGGTCAAGGTTTTAAGAAATTTAATAGTTTAAATGTTAGAAAGTCGTTTTCTTAAAGTTTTGTTAGGATATAGCGGAGAAAGGTTTGAAAGAATGAAGTTGAGGTTGTGTCAAAAAGGAAACAAAATTTCGGAAACAGTAGCAAACTAATTTTCTACTTATACTACGTATTGGACAAGTAATTGTAAAATTCGTTTTATTATTTCTTTGAATAGTTTTCATTAATACTCAAAGCGGGTGTTAATTGTTAAATGGTCAATTATCAATAATTTTAAATTTTGTATTTTAATCCATGGAAAATTAAACCGGTTCCATCGATACACATTTTGGTAAGCTTTTCAAATTATTTCAGTTTTACTGTTATTGGTGAATTTTCTAACTTTTTTCATTAAAATCCATTAGAGACAGCGATCATTCATTTTTGCAAAGAGTTGATTAACAATAAGCAATATTGACCTTATCTTCGTGTTCTCCGAACTCAAATATCTGAGATCCTACGGAGAAGTCCCAAACCGATGCACTGGTCCCACAGCTCGAGGCTAGAATACCATGAACAGCAGGATTAAATCCAACCGTCTCCACCTTTCTCGGCTGCTCAGGGAGCGCCATCTCCGGAGTAGAGAGACTGGTTACCAGACCCTTCTCCGGAATCCGCCAAAGTTTGATATTTTGATCCTGAGACCCGGTGACTAGCAGACCGTCGTCGAACGGCGAGAAGGCAAAATCCGTGACCATATCACTGTGACCGTCGACACGAGGTATTGAGGCCTTGTCAGGTCGACCGGAAGCAGTGAGAGGAAGCACAGCAAGAGATGAACCGATGGTGTCCCAGTTGAAAGCTACAAATGAAGAACTAGCGGCTATAAAGTTTCCACAAGAATGATATGAACCTAGAGTGCAGGGTTTAGCTTTATATAAAATTAAGACAATTGAAGAATGTATAATAAGCATTAAGCATATGAAGGGTCAAGGGGAGGTTTAATTAAGGGTGGAGAGGGGTAAACTTCACAATCTTCCCTCCACCCAAAGCCGGTTTAATCCGAGTACAAGATTTTTGGACCCCCGCCCCCTTCACTCCACCTTTCAATTTTGTACATGACCTAGATTTCAACTCGTTTAGGTTTGGACGATTTCTGGGCCAAATGCTGCGGCTAGGACAGGCTAGGGGTCCGGGCAGTACGACTAGGACAGACTCAGATGGCCGAGCGCCGCAGCTAGAAAATGCTAGGGGGCCGGGCTATCCTAGAGAACGATTTTTTACCCCCCCCCCCACCATCAATTTTGTACATGACCACTAATTGTCAGCAAAATTAATATTTTTAATTTTGTATTATTTTAGGTTAGGTTAGGTTAAGACTATTTCTGGGACGAGCGCTGCGGCTAGGACAGGCTTGGGCCGAGCGCCACGGCTAGGACAGGCTAGGGGGCCTGGCGCTGCGGCCAAATGAACAATTATATCCAAATGTTGCATATGAGATCCATTTCAAAAATTGATAGAAGTGGGGGGGGGGGGTTAGAAAAATAGTTCTCTAGGAAATTACCATCAGAGGATTTAATGATAACTCTGAATTGCAAAGTTGAATTATTTTTATTAAAATCCTATAATTTTGAAAGTTTAGGACTGAACTAAACAATTGTTGCAAGAATTATTGATCAACTTAATCTCAAAGTTAAAAATTAATTAAAAACAGAGGTTTAAGGGTTATTTCCTAAAGAACGATTTTGGACCCAGAAATAACAAATTTAAATGAAAGGTTATCAGAAAACCCTGCACCTATTGAAAGTTCTCGTATATGTTTATCGAATTTAGGTTCCACTGGAACAGTGTTTTTGTACTTAGAAGCTTTGAACTTCCACGACATTTTGATTTATTTATTTTTCTTATACTCGAAATCCTGGTCGACTCAACAAGCTAAATTGCATTTATTCTGAAAAAAAATAAGAAATAGAGACTATTTTACAACTGGACATTTTTCTACCGAGTAGAAAAAATTATTTAATTTCACTATTACGTTAAAAAAGAATGAATCACTTTAAACTTCATCATATTTGTGTACAAAAGCAATGCAACACACCCACTCGTAGTGTAGATTGAGCCGGCGTATCATAAATTTAGGCCGCCAGAGGTCTCGTCGATACCAAAATAGATCGATAATACAAACAGGGGTAAATATATTAATAATATTATTTTCCATTACGTTTTAAAATTCATCTACTACAGGTATTTCAAGTTAAGAAATGAAAACAACTTTTTAGGTGAAATATAAAATTTTTAAAAAAGGGAATTACGTGTTTTGATCGAGGTTGCGTGGTAATTGGGCGTTTAAAAATTTTATTGACGTGATATGTGTAAAGAATTAGGGATTTTATAGAAATCTTTTCAATCGGTGGGATGAGCGGGGAAGGCAGGCAGCCATGAGCCACCACTATATTTCCTCTTCCGGGCCACATATTAGCTTTTTTCTCTTCCGGATGCCATGAGCCACCACCATATTTCCTCTTCGACGCACCACCATATTTTACTCTTCCAGGCAAAACTACTTTCTTATGACCTTAAAAGTGTGATTTTCAAAAATCCAGCCAATTTTACCTATAATTTGCGGCAGTGCCCATTCCCATAGGGCTTCCGAACCTCCCCCAAACAGCTTCTATCCGGGAATGATTTTCCGTCTACACGATCGTAATTATTTCTACTGAGGACTGATTCAATTATTTAAGCTCGGCTGACCAATGCTATGTATATACTTAACATTTTCAAATCTAGGATCGAGGAGAAAATAGCTTTTATTCATAGATTTTTTTTTCTCAACAAATCTTAAGGAATGCTGTCGCAATTTTTTATGATAGCTTTTAATAAGTCTAAGACAAATAAAAAATATTCTTCAAATGTATGATATTCTATCTTTGAAAATTTTCTTTCTAGTTATTGAGATATTTAAAGAAAACAAATCTCCTTTATAATTCCTAATGATTTTAAAACTTTTGGTGCTTTTTTTACAAATGCTTCAGATTTTAAATACATATAAATATAAAGATAATTACATTTTCTTTAATTAAAGCATTTCCCAAATTGCTTTTTATTGCCGAAAGCATTATTTTGTAGGTATTTTAACTTAATATAGATACTATGCTTTTCATCTGCGCACGGAATTTGTTTATGACATGAAACAGATTGGTAATGTTACATCGTCTATACGCAATATNAAAGGGGAGAAGGGGGGCAGAAGGAAACAGAAAAGGGATATCAAGCTAAATCTTTAAAGTTTTCGTTTTTCCAGGTCTAACTTTGATCGTAAAAAAAGAAAAAATATTATGAAAATGTTATGCTATAGATTGACTACCATGCTTAAATATTCGAAATATTCCCGTTTTAAGTAGAAATTTACGATAAAAACAGAAGATCATTCCCGGAAAACTGTTTTGGGGAGGTACGGAAGCTCTATATGGGTCGTGAACTGCCAAGAATAGGTTAAATGAGGTTCGGAAGCTGTGCAGGGGAGGTTGCCTTCCCTCCCTTGTGGGGCAAGAAGTTAAAAAGATATGCATTTGACTTACATTTGACTTAGGACTTAAAGGAGGTGTCCCTAGCAGGCGAAACTTCAATGACGGCCCGAAAGGCTGAAAAATGACGATCTAAAATAAATTGAATTATAGGTAATTTGTAAGTCTTCTGTTAGTCTCTACGATAGTCTGCAGCAGTTCCTTTCATATATCCATTCGTCTCCTGTAGTCTACAGTAATCCTGTATACTGTAGTTCACTATAATCTTCTGTTAGTCTATCAGTAGTCTTATATAGCCCCCTATAGTCTCCTGCAAGTCTTATGTAGAACCCTGTAGTCTCCTGAAATTTTCTCTGATAGGGAGGCCTGATGAGGGCATAGCTACCATAGCCACCCCCCCCCTCCTAACTGCAAAGTCAAACAATTTTACAGGATAAAATCATCTTTGTTATCAAAAACATTAACAACACATCTTTATTCTCGGATTTAATACTTATAATCATTTTATAAAATTAAGTTTTCTTATAGTTCAAAACTTCTATATCTATTACGTAGTCTATGTAGTCTTCTGTACTATCCTGCAATATGAAATAGTCTTCAGAAGCCTTTTATAGCCTCATTTTGTTCTTTGTAGTCTAAATTACTGCAAGTCTTCTGTAATTGTCTCATATCGCCCTGGCAGGCCCCTGGAACAGTGTTTTTGTACTTAGAAGCTTTGAACTTCCACGACATTTTGATTTATTTATTTTTCTTATACTCGAAATCCTGGTCGACTCAACAAAAGGGGACTTTAAAGATTGGAGTAATATAAATTTTCTTTGATGCTTGAATACATGAATTATGCTTTTATTCATGATTGATCTTTAGTAAACTGAAATTGAGTTCAAGGAAGAATATTAATGTTTCAGTCAATCTCCACAGGCTGTTATGAATTAAATAACAGACTGTGGGGTAACATAGAGGCTAAACTATTTTTTTTAAAATTATTTTTTTTTTCAAATATTCGAAATTTTCAGATCTTTCTAAAGTTTCACGGGCAACGCCGGGCACTTCATGAAGCTAGCCTTTAATCTTTTTTTTACGGTGGTAGGCGGTTCTATCAATATATTGAAGACAACCTTCGATTTCAATTTTGATTTTTATTAAGCTTTTAAACAGCATTGATACACAAAAACAAGGAAACAAAGAGAAGCCATTGCTGGGAACTTTTGAATGGTAGATATCGGGATTAATGCTTGATCCACTCTTTTACTTAATCTCAAGATTAAATAATGCTTGTTCTCCTTTTTTATTTTTGAAATCTAAATATTTATTGTCTTTTTTAATTGTACAAAAAAGTTAACATGTAGTCGACAAATTCGTTCACATTATTTTAGATTTGTGAAGTAAATACAAAATTGCTTACATGTGTTAACATTTTTTTATGAGAGATTTGTATAAGGGCCAAATACGTACATTTCTTAAATTAGAAATTTGGATTTAAGGATTCTTGGATCCTGCAAGACATACAAATTGAAGGGTGCAACAGTGAAGTCGTAGAGAATTAAATGCATATAATTAGTCATTGACGAAATTTTTTAAGAATCGTCTGCATATAATTTGGGCATTTTATGAAGAAAATCAATTTGAGCAAGCATTATACAGTTTTTATGTAACAATGGTATAAAGTCAATGTACGCTATACGGAAAAAACTACGATTGTACTAACGAAGAACATTGAAAGTTCAACGTTGGTATGGCATTACATTAGTTAAACTATGTCGTCTTGATGCTAATTAGCCAACTTAAATATAGAAAACGATATATTTAAGATACATACTGGCGAGGAACATTGATGGTTCCTTCCTGCATGTTCCATTCTCTCTGTGGTTACGAATCTACACGGCCGACGTGAAGATAGCAGGCACCAAGATTAAGAAGTGTTAAATGTGAAAAAGCTTATTGGAGAAACATTTAGTTTCAATTGGAAGAAAACACATTATGCTTAAGAACTAGACTCACGTAGAACATTGGTTCTGCGCTACTGTCTACTGTCTAGGGCATTGAAAAGAGATTAGTGCTTAATCTCTTCATTTTTCTCAAATCATTAAGGTATAGCAAGGTATGGTGCACGTTTATATTGTGCTACGAATTAGAGATATCGATGTAGCGTAGTTATCTCCTTTTCTTGAGACATCATGGTTTCTCGGCGGTGAGGTTTGACGGTTCAGGAGGCATTACAGTTTACTCAGACTGAATCAGTAAAAAAAAGATCATTAGTTTATTATGAGAGAAGATTCAGGGTAAGATGGAAGATTCAGATTTTAAACCAGAGTCCTCATAATTTAAAGATGAATAATATCGATAAAGATTTATTAATTAAGACATTTTAATTATAGGGACCCGATTTTACTGTTGGTTTTTATTTCTATATTATTTAATTAATCTTACGGACATAATTTTTTTTTAAAAAATGGCATTTAGTTCTTGCTTGCAGTAGCAAAGTTTTACATCCGAATTATTAAATTAAAGTGTAATGGATGAAAAGAAAATCTTTAAACTTAGACAACTGACATTGTATACTCAACGTTTGAATTTTGTTAGAATTGTATTCCAATAGCATGTACATTAGTTTTGGTGCAATAGGGTTTCAACCTTAACAATCCAAAATGATCCATGTTCAAGCTCCTGCTATCTGTATATAAAAGGTTAAAAATTCATTGATAATGAAGGAAATCTGCCAGTCTTCTCGGGGACTTATGGAAATATATTTTTTTACCGTTATTATCTGCTGAAAGATGAAGCAGTAGGATCCGCCAGGTTCTCTGAGGTTCTCCGCTCATTCGTCTTCCAGGTTTCAGTTTAACTAGGTAAAGAGAGAACCATGACGAAGGGAAAAAATCGAGTCTGTCGGGATTGTAATTAAGCATGTTGATAGAGTTCTAATTCTGGAATTTCGAGTATCATTGGAAATCGAGGCTTGAGTTAAAACAATGAACTATTAAGTAAGATCTTCGATTTTAGACTAATTTAATATCTTGGATGTTTTAAATCTGAAGTATCTAATTATAGATTAAAAGGTGAGAAAGTCTTTAAACTTAGACAACTGACATTGCATACTTTAAGTTGAAATTTTAATAGAATATTTTTAAATAGCATGTAAATTAGTTCTGGTTCAAAAGGGTTTCGACCTTTGGAATCCAAAATGATCCGTGTGCACGTCCCTGCTCTCTGTATAAAAAGGATTAAAAATTCGTTGATAATGAAGGAAATCTGCCAGTCTTTATTATTAATCTCAAGATTAATTAACCAATCGGGATTAAGGATGTCACAATCTTAAGTTTTCAGCTCATATCAATTAAAAAAGCTTCCCTTTATTTACGTATATAACTTGTAATTCGAAAACAGCTTGTTGATAATTAAAACTTAGATAAAAAATTCGTCTTCATTATATTGATATAATCT